ATATATGATTCTCAAAGATGATTGTATAGCACGGTCACTCCTTGCAATCGAAGTGTGAGGTGCGGAAGTGGAAACATGTAATTTGATACTTTTCCATCCCCCTCTTAGGTTATCAATTTTCTATGGGTCACGTGACCAGCCTCGACCAGGGCCTTTGCTTCCCAAGAGCAAAGAGCCTGGGAACGAGGTTGCACATTGAATAGAAAGAAAATTGGTCCCAGCCAGGTTCCTTGCGGAACACACAGGCCATGGGAAAACTATTTGAGAGCAATTGGTTTAACTGGAAACAAACTGTTTTCTGTCTGACAGAAAATATTTTATCCCATATTTTATTTTAAGCGCAATACAGTTTCTTGTCACATTTACAGTTTAATTTTAACATTTTTCTCTCTAATTTTCTGCGATTTACATTTCAAACGTTAAGTCGTTTAAGTTCATCGTTGAACCACGGTAGTTTTGTTCTCTCTATTATCACATTTCTTTGTACAGAAGCATCGGTTTCTCTAAAATATTAGACAGGGTTTCATCGTAACTTTGCACCAGGTCATTCAAATTAGCCCAAGTTTTATTACATAGATTAGATGTAACATGCAGTGTTAGATTTGAACGCATCTATGTTGATTTGTCTCCGTTTTACGAAATTGAAGTTTCTTCTGTCTAGGATTGGGACGGGGCACAGACAAACTACATGCACTCAACAAAGCAGTGGTCGGACAGGAAAAAATAAGCCTGTACTTCGCCAATTATGACATCACTGGATGATCTCCTGACAATAAGATCCAATATGTGATTGGATACATGAGTTCGAAACATAACATGTTGTATGAGGCCAATATTTCCAGAACTTCAGTGAATTTTCTACTATCTTCATCTGCTATATAATCGAGATGAAAATTAAAGTCTCCAGTTATCAAAAGTATTTCAGGGCACATGACGATGCTCCCAAGAATGAGGAGAATTCCTCGAAAAACAGTATTCGAAGTGAAGTCATGACCCTGGGAATATGGTGGACGGTAAACCGCAATAATTCTAATAGTTTATTGAACACTTTACAGTTCCATTCTGAATATTCAAACGAATGTTTTTCATCCCCATTAATAAATATTATTTTAGTACGGCTGTTACACATTGCACCAGTTCCACCGCCCCTTCTATCAGATTGCCGTGGAAAACTTTTAAAATAGTAGCCAGGTGTAGATAACGCCGCAATACTAACAGAGTCTATATGTTTTAATCAAGTCTCAGTGACTACACAAATGTCAATATTGTTCCCCAATATATGATCCACAAACTCTGCTGTTTTATTTTTCAAAGATATTACATTAACATTAGTAAAACGTATTACGTTCTCTCTACAGGACAAGGCAACTTGAGTTTTACTTATTTTAATTCTGACACAATTTTGCATAATTTTCCCTTCGAATATTAGCCATATCGTTTGTAAATGGCTCATATTGTGGAATGGGGATATCTGGGGGTTTGTGATTTGAAGTTGATTAGGTTGTTAGTATCTGATACGCAATATTACAGAATTTGTCATCCAGTTCTGTCAAGTGCATGCATTTCCGTTGTGGTTATTTTATATCATAAGATCACCACGCTTGGCAGCACACTAATCTCTCCGTGCTTACACGATCCACGATGCATGTTCCGCGCTTATACACACGTGACCTCCGAGTTTATAGCATAGAAATAATAGATATAGAATGCGTACTTGATCACGAATCATGTCTCCACTTTTTCTCATTCGTGCATGTCCTTATAAATCCGCCATGTTGAATTTCACTAGGAGTGCAAACTGCAAAGTATAAACAATTGCTAAAACTATATGTTTTCTTGTATATTGCCCAGCATGACTATATCAGTAATAGTATAATGTAAGGTTTTATTAAAATGTTGTTCGTTGGCGATCGCTGTATCGTTCAAACGTTATGTTTTCATTAATTACCTTATTACGTTATGTTTTCATTAATTTCATTAATTACAGTAAAGACAAGAATTCGTTGAGGTTAGGTTAGTTCAATTCGGAACTGTGAATGCAAATCAATCAATTAAATTTACGCGAAACTACTTTGTTTTTACAAAGCTGCAATCCTGCATGATTTTCACCGTTTTTGTTCTGCACATTTGCTTTGTCCCTTCAAAGAATTTTATAATATTTCAAAATCTATCCCCAAACTACAACATTAGCGTTAAATACTTTTCACTATACATATATAGGAGAGTCCGAGAATGGTTAAAATTTCAATCGCGCATATGCCTAATAGCTACACTGTTCTACGCTTGAACTCGCAATCTACAGTATTTGACAAGGAATTACTATCGCAAGGAAAGTACTGCATCAAACTTGACGTCCTAAATTGATAAATCGGGAAAACGACTGGGGAAACGTAACATTGGGCTATTCCGTGTTTTTTAAGGCGTCAATGAAGGAGCACTAGTGGCTTTTTGTTGGAATGAGCGCTCAAACGCTAGCGGCCTTGATTAAACGAATCTTTTAAAAAAATACACTGTAGGCTACATGTATAACCCTTGATAGGTTGCAGTATGCAGAGCGATCAATTGATACTAGTGATGACGCGATCTATAATGAAACAGAATTACGTTTGCCAATTGGAATTTGCTAATTGGAGTGGACTTCCGTTTATTTCTTTGCTAAGTGCTAACTATAATTTTTAGTACGAACAATAACGCAAGACATCCAAACCGACAGACGGCCGACATCAGCTATTTTAGTTATTTGGAAACCTAATTGACAACTAACATCAAATGAGACTAAAAAGATGGCGTGAATATATTTCTCTTTGATCATGCATAATTAGCAAAAGTCCAACCCTAACCATGAATGTACGTTCGTGGTGGAAGCATGAACGATATAATTGAGGCAATATAACATCATTTTCCGCAAATTTGAAACTGGGAAAGTCCCGCTTAAAACGAAATCACGCGATTCAAATTAGGTAACGATCGACTGATCACACAAGGATATTTTTAATAGATTTATAAGTCAGTTTAAATGCAACACAACTATAGCATAGTATACCAGCTAGAGAGAGATGTCGATGAAAGGCGGTTTAGTTGCTTTTATGTTATACTTTACACTTCCGCTCCTGGTCTATGCTTACTTGAGTGGTGTTACTCTTGATCTAACGAATCTTGATGTCAAAGAACTTTTAATCGACGGAATTCCACAAATCGTTTTATGTATGATTATCCTGACTGTTCCTGCTACATGTTTTACACAGATTCAAGCGAAAAAGCTCGATCATAACAAATTGAGTAAAGCGGACCTTTGGACGCTGTTGTTCCTTTCCTCTGGGCTCATTCTCCTCACAGTCCTCTGTGGATATGAGAGTATAAGTGCACCGAGTTTAGTCACCACTACCGAGTACAGAATTTCAATCATGATATCGTTCTCATTTTTTCCACTACAGCTACTGTTTCTAGAGAAGAAAGCTGACCAAACTAGGGCCAAGCGAGGGGACCAAGGTCTGTTGCCATTTTGCCCAGCCATAGTGGATCTCTACGATGGCAATGACATGCTCATCACAAAGTTGCATTCAACAAACCCGGTGTGGGTACAAGTTGCGATTTGTTTGGCTGTTATAACGTTCTTCATTCCTTCTTTGTGGGAAATATATTATCGCAGATATCCTGAACTAACAGAAGGGTCTGGGTCAACCTTGTCAGAGCAAAGAGTTAGGCTTGCTCAATGTGTTTCCAGTTGTATGTTCCTCGCGCTTCGCGTAGTATTGTTTGCATACAACCCACATGAAATTGGTTTCGCTATCAAGACTATCATTAGAGTGTACTGCCATTACGAAACATTGTCATATATCCAGCAAGACCAGCATAAAAAAAGACCATGCAATAGTCTAATCTAGATTGAGTCAAAACGATTATTTCTGATTATTTATACGGAGTTCTGGAAAAATATTATTGCAATATATATATATATATATATATATATATATATATATATATATATATATATATATATATATATATATATATATATATATATATATATATATAATTTGTATCTGTGTTTGTGGACGCACTGTAACCGGAAGAACTTGAAAACGAACGATGACGTAAATCACTGGACTTTGAGATCCACCCACGCTAATGACAGTGGTGAATCCAGCAAGGTTTCTTGAGGGGTGCTGGGCAAGCAGCCAAGCATACCGAACTCGGCAATGGCCAGCAGAGTATTGTTATGTAGTTTCTTGGTTACAATTTTCACTAGATATGTTGAATAAGTATAAATAAATTTAATAATTATATAAAATATAAATCCCCGACTCTCTTGATACTGTGATTGTGTGAAAGAGAAAATGGAAATTTGAATACTTGACTGCTAATTTTCTAATTTTTATTTTCTTGACACTGAATATGTATGATGTTAGACGTTTGCAGCAAAATGAAGAATTTCCTTTACTCAAACATAGTAACTAAATTAATTATCAATATTGGACCTATTAGTATTTTGAACTAGTTCTGTGGTACTGCCTTGAATTCCAAAACTCGAAATTCGACATCCGTAACTCGAATCCCACTTCGCAATTACCATGAAAGGGTTCTCATTTTTGTTTTGAGTCTCATTTCATTCTGAGCTGCCTATAGTTTTCAAAAAAACTAAAATAACTGATGATTTATGGTTTTTAAATACTGTAGTTTGCGAGGTAGTCTGTAGACTTGATTTAGTTTATGTAATCTCGCATATATATTACTGCATGAGAATATGCGATTGAAAGTTTAACCATTCTCTGATGTCAGTTGAGTTAATTGTATAGCCATTATATGTCAGTTGAGTTAATTGTATAGCAAGGCCAAGGGGTTATATTTTTGAAAAATATATTCGTTGGTGATTGTTATACCGGCCTGAGAACATATTGAAGAATCAGAATTGTTGTAGGTGAACGGATATAGAAACTCAGTATTTTACTTAAGAATAGAATTTGAATAGAATTTCTCAGCACAAATTATATATTCTGCATCTGCATGCTCAGCATGAGCTCCACCTTTGGCTTTGAATATACTATATGAGTAAATTGTTAAACATGTCCGAATTTATCAATATGATAAATTCGCGGCACCTAACCCCTAACACTAATACTAACCCCTAACCCTAACCTGTAACCCCTCAAGTCCCTCATGACCATATTAATCTAACTTTTTAAACTTTTTTAAACTTTTTTTGAAGATCATGTAGTGTTTTTATTGATTATTTAAGACGTGTTGCCGTTAAAGGAAATATATCAGGTTGCGTCCTATCATACTTTTTTCTCCTCTTTATAGTATTCACTGTTGAATATAGCGATCTGGACACATTTATATTCTGTTCAAGGACGTATAGCGAAGCATCTCAAGTTGGGGAGGATTTTACCTGAAATTTGAAATTCAATGTTAAAAATTTATCTGAAGTGTAATAATTATAATAAAGCTTTTTGTGATTGATTTGCACTGTCATGCATTGCCAAAATTACTACGCGTATACATTTAACTCAAACTGTAAACTTGTTATTCATTTGACTATAAAAGACGAATATTTTCAGTTGGTGTTGTGGTCAGATGCCTGTCACAATTTTTGTACTGAAATACATTCAGAGATCATTGAAAGAAGTCACGCTGTTGCACTGTCACACACTTTTCGGGCGCATGAATATAATACGTTCTCTGATCTGTCTTTGATCACATAGCTTGAGATTTCTATATCGTGTAAATCAGAATAATATCGAAACGCGAATTATTTATATCAGTGCTGTCGTGTACAGTATATTCTCAATAGTGTTTTGTGGTAATGGGCTTGTAACTGAATGGACGACGGCTAAATCTTATCACCATACCGTATTTACTCGTTTGAGCGCCGCGGCTCTCTTTAAATTTTCAAAGCTTCAGATGCGGCGCTCATTCGGGGGCGGCGCTCAATCGGGGGCGGCGCTCTTTAAAAAGTCTTTTATTTGTGAACTATAACAAGAACTTTTAACAATGAAATAAACAAGTTTGAAATGTCTTTGTCACTAAATGTCCCCATTTTGACGGCGAAAAGTTTTTACACTGTTTAGTGCGGCGCTCATTCGGGGGCGGCGTTCTTTAAAAAAATTGATCTCAAATGCGGCGCTTATTCGGGGGCGGCGCTCAATCGGGGGCGGCGCTCAATCGGGGGCGGCGCTCAATCGAGTAAATACGGTATGCGTAGGGGGCTGATGCTTTCCAGGGGACAGTTGAAAGTTTGCCCGAATTTTTATGGAGAATTGTAATGAATTAATAACCTGCATGATTTTAACGTATTTTCTGATAAATCTGCCCGAATTTTCTTGATTTTTCCTAGCATTTGCCCGAATTTCCATGGTTTTAAATCGTATATATATCGCAAACGTCGAATACGTCCGGGCCGGACAGTGATCAGCTATCTCGAACTTAAACCCATGCGAGTTTTCTCGTTGGCGCGTGTGTTATATTTTGCATTACCCAAGAGTGCGGTATCTAGTGAGATAATTGCATGCGCCGTATTTAAACTGAACTAGGTAGCATGTTTTGCACCTCTGTATAGCTCAGACGAGAACAGGTTTTGGGCGAAATTGTGCCTGTCTGCATAAATTGAAATATTTCCATATAACTTACAGACCACATGCATGCAGTTCCTGTGACAATTAAGGAACAATATATGATTTTATATAAAGATAACGAGCAGCATGAACCAAATCGCTGCATGCATGTCTCTTAATTATAAAATGTTTTGATAACAGACGCGTTGTGGAAGGTACACCATGCATGTCATGTTATTATTTAAAATTTGGACACCTGTCTTTTCGTACCCACAGCCCTTAATTCTTATATACCGCTCCGTTGACATGCAGCACGTACATGCATGCTCATTATGTTTCCAAGAAATATAGTTTCATATAAAAATATCCACTCATCCCTTCAGTTCCTTTACACATGCACAAGCTCATATAACTTGCGTAGAAAACATGCATCAATCCACATTGAAATATGTAGCTAAATGAGGATTAAATAGACCTTTCTTATGATGGCTTTACAACCTTGTTCCAGGCCTTTGTTGCGCGGTAAATACATTTGCCGAAATATGATTTAAAATCTGTCAAAATATCAAGAGCAACGTATTGTTGAACGTTCTTTTAAGGGAAAGTTGTTAAACTCATTATAGACTTCGTTTTAATTGCTATGCTATTTATTGTCTTAAATATTATGTTAAGTTGTTTTGTTATCCGAAATATGTGCTCGGACGGTCGGACCGGTTTTGTTCTGCTTAAACATCGAAGAAATTTCAGATGTTTTTGTAGAAAAAATATAAATTTGTTAATGCATGAAAAGAAAGCTTATTTTCAGGTCAACAATACAGACACTAGAGTCTAAATTTATTCAAACATTTTCCCGTAAACTATAAAAAATTGCCAAATAACAATTATACAATTCGAAGAATGTAGTTTGTAAAGAAACATTCGATTTTGCATGTTCACGCAGTTGTATAATTGTAACATCCGGGAGTTAGCACTTCCGGCGGGAAAAAACAGGCACCTCGAAGAGAACTAGACAGCTGTATTAACAAGGGAGTTTTACTTAGCATAG